GTACAAATCTTGATAAACACATTAGTATAATATTGGTTTATTTAAAATGAACATGTTTAGAATTGATAAGATAATTTATCATTTATCTACTGTTGCAACACTAAAATTTGTGTCTAGACGAGTAGCACTCGAATGTTATCGCCTGCATTTCGTCGGCAATATATAATTACATGGATTGCATACTTTTAGATGGTTTAATTTTAGTGATCTTGTGTTTCATACAAAAATAGCTTTATTTTCTTCCGGGTGATTAGTGTGATACTCTAAACAGGTTGTAATAAGTGTGGTTTTACAAAAATAGCTTTATGACAATTCTCTGACAATTTATGAAACGGTAATATTAAGTGTACTACTGAATTTGAAATACCCAGAAAAAAAGTCTGAGTACTTATCACACTTCTTTATAAAGGCGAAAATTTGTCAGTGTGTATGTTAGTTACTCTTTCACGATTAAACGCATAGAGCGATTTTAATAAAGTTTGTTACGGAGTTAGTCTCAGCTAACTGAATTAACATATAGGCTACGTTACTGCGTGAAAATATGTTATTCGTATGGGAAAACCGACGAAAATTAATTCGCGAAAAATGTATAAAAATACATATACTAATACAGATATATACAGATTAAAATATATAAGGGTAGTGACCAGGTCATTTTCACCGTGAGACAGGAGAGTAACGGTAAAATTAATCCAAAGGATGAGGTCCGTATGCCAAGATATTTCGTGCGGGCCGATATGTAAGTAGTACTGCAGCGGCGTGGAGATACTAGGCTTACCGTTACATGAAAGGCACTTAACAGTGACCCACCTTACATCTCCCAAACGGCGAGCGGTTTTATAGCGGTGCCAGGAAGACGGGTTAGATCGAGCGTTGTTCTTTGTAGATGTAGCAAGGTATTACACGTGAAATGCGTAACGAAAAGAATGGATACGTCCAGTGCAGGCCGCATCCGTTGACTGTTAGAATGTTGTGAAATATCAGATGCCCTGAGTCGAATTTATATCGTATACAATAACAATGAATGTGTGTGTATACGGTTGTCGCTGGCTACAATCAAAGGCCCCCACCAGTTTTTAAGCGGTGAATCGTAGATGTGCCCCTGTATGTGGAAAAGCCCCTTTCGAGAGCATGTGAGGCGATGGGTTTGCTTGAAGGTGCCGGCCAAACTATACACGACGCCATGTTGTGTGTGTCAGCGATCTTGTTGAGAGAGCTCTTTGCGATTGTGATAAACACTTGCGGACTCTCCAATCCCCGGTAATTGTGGGACAAGTATAAAAACGCTTTGTCAGAAGATATTGGTAGATAACGCTAGCCAACGATGACTTAATTTTTATAGAATTGCTGAAATTTATTGAGGGTAAAATTTTTGCGATGGCTGGAAAATTACTGCACGATTTAGTATGTCTGCCCCACAGAGACCGGAGAAGCTATCCACTGATTTAGTCAGAGAGCTTGGTTATAATAATCTAGTCAATCAAACAGAGCCCCAATTACTACCAAATGAAGGAAATTTTTCAATTTAATAACAAACTGCGTAGCTAGCGGACAAAGGAATTTTTTTTCTTAGACGCACCTGAGGACACCGGCAAAATTTTCTATACAAACTCACTGCTGGCACAGATAAAGTTGTTAGTCGAGCTTTTTGTGATCAATAATGTTTTTATGTACATTTTTCCTCAATATAATTGTATCAGGCCCTTGTTTTTGAAGAACTATTGGAATAAATAGCAATACCTGTTTTTATTTGTATACTTTTATATGGTCGCACCCTCAGGTTTCCACAATGCCTTTTTAAACCAGCACATAAATATACAGTGCTAAAAAATTATATAAAAAACAATTGTTATAAACAATTTTATGACAAAGTAAAGAAGCACACATTTCTCACATTAATCACGAACTTGGAGAGTTGCCCAAAAATTTTCTTAAGAACGTCAATTGACTTTTCAGACGCAACAACTTTACCTATGCCAATATTTTACTTGCCAAAATGCATTACTTTGTTTTTAGCTTTAATACTTTAAGTAAATTTTCGTGTTATTAAAAATAGATGAGTAAATGTGCCAAAGCTCAAAACTTTCCATTATGCCTTTATACCTTGAAGCTCCACCGAGTAAGAACAAAAACCAAAAATCCACAAAATAAATTGACTATTCATTGCCGCTATATAGTGTCGGTATTTATATATTTCTATATATATTTAATTATTTTTTAACTGATACATATATACTACATGTGAGTCAAGTTATACTTTGCACCGCTTGTCGCCGTTTGCTTCAATTAAAACTAATCAAAATTTGCTTGCACACAATAGTTAATAGAAAAAGTGAAAAGGCCTTTGATTGTCAGCGGTGTCGCGTGTTCTCCAACTCTCGTCAAGCATTTAACATTTTTGAACTAATGTTATAAGTTGTCAAAGAAAAATAAGCCGACGTATGCTCATCAACACGATCAAGATGATTTGTGTAGTTACATTGCATAATTCTTCGAAGACACCACTCCTCTCCGAGCGCAACCAATTTGCATGTGTGCTATTTGTTGTCGTTCTCTCGCGAGATCTTATAGTTAAACCTACCGGTTCTGCTCGTCTCGTGTATATACGAGTATGCATTCCAACTTAGCGGCATGTGGTCACGTTTTCGGTTGTTGATGCTTCCAATTATTCAGCTAATATTTGCCGCTTCCATTCAATTCCAATTTACTTCTCATTTATTATGATTTCTAATACATATACACACTGTTATTTACATATGTCTCTCTATACTTTTTCCTGCATTTATTTTTATGGACCTATTTGGTGATAATTGCTTTGATGGGCATGCAAATAGTTATTGTTTTCTCACTCTCCATTAAATAAAGCAATTACTATTCGGAATTGTCTAAAATGTTGAGAAAAATTTTTACGATTATTTTAATAGCTCAAAATACATTTGTTATGTTAATAGTTACTTTAATTGTAGGGAAACTATATATATATGTACAGAGTGATTGTAGTCAGCATTAGGGCGCAAAACTTCTAATACAAAAGCCAATTTAAACGAAAAAGGCAATAGAGAAAAAACTTGGGACTCGGGGAATATATAAGTTGCGGGCTTAAAATTTTCTAGAAATCCTTCGGTAGAGATTTTCTTTAATTACTTTTTAATTATGTATTGGAAAAGTGTGGTTAATAAATTTATTTTATTTTTTTTTGGAGCGAATCTCAATATTTATTCATAAATCTATAGTTGAGTTTTGACTACAAATATTGGTTGATGTCAGGTGCTGATATTTATATTAAGTATCGACTTTAGTATCGAACTGATTTTATCTACAAGAACTTGTATGTTTCTCAATACCACGTATTATTAACATGACACAGCGCATAAAATGTTCCCTGGGTTTCATAAACTACCTTACATACAATCACCAATCATCTAGAGTAAAATCAGCCGATGTTCGAAAATTCGAATATTAGTTATATGAGGTATAGGCAAATTTTCGGAACTCAACTCATTTGTAGCACGCGGAGACACTACTATCAGGAAAGGATACTCTGTGAATTTCAATTATAAATCTGACACATTAACCAATATTTGTGGTAAAAAGTCAACTATAAATACCGAGGTCGATATATTCGGTACACAAGGGGTTACACAGTTTTTGTTTGATTTGAACAATTTTTGGTATTATTCGTGTAAAGTTTTATTCCGTTATATTAATTTCTCCTTGATTTGTACACCCGAATGGAAAAAATCAGATAGAATTTATTACGAAGGTAGGCGTGGTAGTATCGACCTATTTGACCCATTTTTGCGCTGTAATTATTTGACCTATTTGACCCTGGCTCCATTGAAGCCCTCTCAAACCATGTTTAGTTAATTATTTGTCTCGCTATTAGTAGTTTTTAACAGTACCGTTATATGCGGAGTGAGCAGGGGTTTCCTCCGATTTCATACAGTTCCACTCTGTTACTAGAAGTTCTTATAATATTTCGGCTCCGCTAATTTGGTTGTTGTAGCTTTAGCGATTTAGGATATACATATGTATATAAAACTTATTAGACGGCAGGGTTTTCCTCAAAATTTCTCGCTTGTGGTTCTTGTTACTGCTATCCTTTGGCCCAAATAACAGTTTTGTATCTTAATTTAGTGTCTAGTTATGGCGCTTAATAGCTAAGGGAATCCGCTTACTAAGTCTCATCAAGATATGTTCGATCCGAGAACTTGTGAATTGGTATTTCTTTATCAAACTCCTACATTAGTACAGCTATGTGGTTGTTTTTTGGGGTCTTCTTAGCACCATTTTTATCTCCGCCTTTATTTTTATGCGATTGTCAGTATTCTATTTGCAATGGATCTTGCTATCTTAGTTTTTTCTGATAAAAGAAGAATCCTGGAATTTAAACGACCTTCCATTTGATGGATTTTAATAAAAAAATGTTTTACATACGAGTATATATCAAATCATTATGTGTTTTCTGAAGAAAGAGCATTTAGAAACTGGGGTTGGGTGTAGTCAAAGAGTGCTAAAATAATCTTTTTGCGATGATCATGATGACTTATACTTTGATATTCATCTAAAATTAATTGGATAATAACAATTAATTAATGAGGAAGCCATCGCCCCTGATTATCGGGGAAAAAACGAACAGTTAATTGTTTATGTAAAATCAAAATTCTTCGATCAGGCATTTGTTTTTCATGTTTTCAGAAAGGTATGTAAATTAAATTGAAATCTACCGAGAGATTTTCAAGCTACAGTGGTCACCAGTTCAAAAAAAAAAAAATTTTTTTTAATTTGAAAATTCTTACTATTCCTGACCTTTTATGAAGAGCAAACTTGTTATTATATTTGTGACAAACAATGAAAAAATATTACCCAAAATGATATCGATTTGTAATTCAAATACCTTAAGTATGTAAATCATTGCGAATCTGATTCAAAATAAAATATAATTTTTCTAGTTTAACTTAACCTCTAATTTTTTGTGTATTTTACAATATTATTTTCAGAATCAAACATACACTCAGGTGCCTTTGGAGAATAAGCCCACCGAAGCTAATGCCAAAAAAGCCATAGACGATACAGTTCAGCAAAGGAGTGATGTGGAGAAGATGGCACAAGTTAAGCTGAAGAAAGAAGCCGAAAATGCGCCTGAGCACCCGCCAACAAAGTAAATGCACACACACACATATAACGAACTAATGAAAATTAGTATTAAATTCCTCTTGTCTTATAGCTACATCACGACGCTAATACACATCTTCAAAGGCAACATTGGACCCGGTCTCTTCGCTATGGGTGATGCCTTTAAAAATGGCGGCATAATTGTGGGACCCATACTGCTCGTTATTATCGGCGTAATTTCGGTGCACTGTCAACATGTGCTCGTCAGTTGCTCCGAAAAGATGCGCGCTCTAACTAACGGTGTAGTGTGTGCTGACTATGCCGAAACGGTGGAGCAGTGCTTCGCCAATGGACCTGTCAAACTGCGTACCTGGTCGAAAATGATGAAAACCATTGTGAATATTTTTATATGCGTCACGCAGTTGGGTTTCTGTTGTATTTACATCGTATTCATCAGCACAAATATGAAGCAGGTAGTTGTTGAAAGCAAATAAGTGAAAATCAAATGTCCAACTGTCAAAATTTTATAGATCTTCGATGCTTACGAAGTCGATATCGATGTACACCTTGTAATGGTTATCATGTTTGTGCCCATCTTGCTTACCTCGCTCATAACAAACCTCAAATGGTTGATGCCTGTGTCGCTGGTCGCCTCCATTTGCATGGTTGTGGGTTTGGCCATAACCATATTTTATGCCCTTAAGGATGGTTTGCCCAGCGCGGCGGAGCGCAAACTTTACACTGACGGTCCACACTTGGCGCTGTTTTTCGGCACCGCGATCTTCGCCTTTGAGGGCATAACTTTAGTGCTGCCACTGCGGAATGCCATGCGTAAACCATCGGACTTTGCTCGCACCATGGGTGTTCTAAATATGGGTATGACCTTGGTGACCTTCATGTTTTTGTTTGCCGGTATCTTGGGTTACCTCAAGTGGGGTGAGGAAGTGGGCGGCAGTTTGACTTTGAACCTGGGCGATACTATGTGAGTTATATTTATTGAATTACGAAGGTGCAGACTTAACAGTTATTTATTTATTTATGGTTTTTTTTGCAGTTTGGCGCAATGTGTAAAGGTCATGGTTTCAGTTGGTGTGATGCTCGGTTATCCCCTACAATTCTTTATTGCCATACAAATTATGCTGCCAAATGCTATACAAATTTTCCATTTACAAAGTCGTCCATTCACCGGAGAGCTGCTTTTCCGCACCATTATGGTGGTGCTGACCTGTGAGTATAGTTGAAAGCTTTCGTATGGTTGCCTTGATTGATTACATAACATACTTAGATATCTGATACAAAATATTTACGGTTAAAATTTAACCAGGATAACGAAAATCATTAGGAATCATTATTAGGTTTGTGGAGGCTAAGGGCAGTACTGAACCGATTATATCCGTCTTTGATACCATGAAAACTACAGCAGAGATGCCAACTTAGTTTACTAATTTTTTTGTCGGGTTTTTACCGGTATAAAGTCTGCTATAGCCATTCATGTTCTCATATTCTATATAATATATAAAAAATATGAAGATTTGCTACTGGCTGCATGAAAAATGTTTATATGATCTTGAGACAGTATGTATACAATCAAATTTTGTAGCATAGTTTTAGGCGCCATGGCAAAAACTTTCCCGTGAAGTCTGAGTCATATCTAATCATAAGTACAAGTATAACTTAAACTTAATTAAAAAAAATAAATAAAAAACATAAAAATGTAAGAAGAATTAAGCAGAGAATTCTGTATGTGACTTATGTAGTACATAATAACTATATACCAAATATATAATTATTTTTAATTTACCTTCCAGTATGCATTGCTGAATTGGTGCCCGCTTTGGGTCTCTTCATGTCACTCATCGGTGCGCTGTGCTCCACTGCTTTGGCCCTGGTATTTCCACCGATGATAGAGCTATTGATTAAACGCGACGATAATAAAGGACCCGGTGTCTGGTTGTTCACCAAAAATATTGTCATACTCATATTGGCCTTGATGGGCTTCTCGACTGGCACCTACGAGAGTTTATCGCAAATCGTGACACATTTTAATGAAGCACAATAACATTTACGGAGAACTGTTAGAAAGTGTGACTCGAATAGATCTGCGTACATATGTATATACGTTTACAGTATACACACATATATGCATACCTACATAGATACGTGGGTGTGTGTGTGTTTAGTTGTAGCTACAATAAGTTTGTGAATTTATTAGACTAGATTTAGCGTATTTAAATAGTGATGAGTATGTCTATGTGCCAATGTGATTTTTAGTGATACACGATACTTCAGGTATCAACTATAATCATTTCTTATTTTGAATATTTATCATTTATATTTATAGTGTTGATTTCACAAAATATTTAATCAAAAAATAAAGTTATATCGTGGAATTATTGCAATCACATGACTAGTTTTGTATGCCAACAAATGTCAAATTTTCAAACCACCCCTTTTTTTCTATATGTAAGTTAAAAATAAAGCTTTAAATATATATTAATAAACAAATATTTTTATTAAAACGATATATCTGTTTACTCGTATACATATTTATGCCTTATTTCATATGAAATGTAAGAAGATTTTAAAATGTATGTCGATTTTAAAATATTGCCATCATTATAAAAAAATCTTTTTTCAATAATGATTTATGCCACTACAACAACAATATGATATCAAGTGTAATTATTAGAAAAAATGCCATCGTACATTTTTTTAAAACTTTTTTAAAACTTTAGGAACGAAGAAGCACGGACTTTGGATAAGATGATATATTTATCTCTTTATTATTATAATTTTTCATGTTATAAATGTAAACAAATTTTTGGGCGCAATATTAACAACAATAAATATTATCTCTTTCAAATGGCCGCGGCTATGTCTCAGATCCATTGAGTTCAATTTTCGAGGACTCGTTCGAGCTATTCGGCTGGTAATTGGCGATTGACACTAATGATGTTTTGATCTATGGTCCACTATCGGGATATTGTGTCTTTAAACAAATCTTTGTGGATCTTTCCGCATGTAATGGGGCATTGTCCTGTTGGAATATGCAGTTTTCGCGAAAGCGCTCGAGGCAAAATGAATAAGCTCACATTGCAATAGCTTACATATTTTACACATATCACGTACTTTCCCTTAGCGCAAAAGGCAGCCCATGCCATTAGGGGTTTCCTTTAAGTTCGTCTTCCGAGAATATCTACTTTTTACAAAAAAAAAAAAAAAAAAAAAAAAATCCAGGCATTTCTATGATGCTTCTTGAGACACGGCTTGGGTATAATATTTTTATATCTCAGCTGATAATCCTTTTTCTACATTTGGTGAATCCGTTGACGAGTTTAGCGTTAATTCCTGACCAAGTCACCTTATCTTCAGCGGCAAGTTGTGTAATGTGCCGTTTTGTGTGTTCACTTGCTGTGGCTGTGATATCACAACTCTTAAAAATATCGTATTATTTTGGAAATGTAGCGATTGTATTTCGATGGTAATTTGTTGCAGCAGCAATTTGTTCCCCACCTTAGCTCCACCTTAACACATGGTTTTCATTTTAACCTGCCCTTCATTTGAGAGTTCCGTTCGAAGAGATAATTTACTCGTAAGCTTAAAAATATATATATTTTTTCATATAATAGCCGTGAACTTATACAATACATATCCAGTAATATTTCTTAAGCTGTTTTCAATTTCAATAGCTGCCAATTTTGCTGAAAGTGTGTCAACGCTGCTGCACTCCGGAAGCAACCTTTAACCTTAAGTGAACGAATGAATACAAAATACAAACGAAAAAATAATATACTCATAAAAAAAACCACGCCGTAATTCAATACAAAAAATAACGAAAACAATTTTTGCGCATAAAGCTATTTTATGAGCCATAATTTTTATTGCAAGACGTTAATGAGGTATCCGCATAATCTTTGGTTTTGAAATCAACTATATAACTACTTGTATACTGCTGCTTTCAAATGTCAAATTCTTGACAAAATAGCTAGGACTGCTATATATAGTTCATGTATATGGTGTTATAAGAGATTATGGTGGAGAATGAATTTCTACAACATTTTATGCGATAAAATAACGAATCATCATGGTAAAGCACTTCATTTTTTTGTCAAAATTCGTTCTGTTTTTCAACACAGTTTCCTTCATGGGTGTTACACTGATTATAGCGACCCTCCAACTTTTCGATAACATTTTTTGTATACGATTTGTCCTTTGCTTCAAAGCCTAAGTTTTCGGCGAACCTTTTCTTTCCACGAAAATTTCCTCCTTATGAGCATTCTTTTGAGTTATCTGAGAAAAAATAATCGCTGAAGGCCAGATCTGATGAATTTTTGGATTTTTGCCATCGTGTTTACTGAATTTGTTCTTCAAATGCTTCCATTTTTCATCACTGGAATGGTCCAATAACGTTATATAGTAGTCGCTGTTGCTGGTCTTTCCTTTTTCAAGGTACTCAGTTAAAATTATTCCATGCATTACATTATACAGACGCCATAACCTTGCCCGCCGACTATTGCGTTTTTCCACACTTACGAACGGGTTCATCGTGTGCAGTCTACTCTGATGACTAACGATCGGACTACGCCATGTTTTATCCACCATCTATGTGTCAGGGGAGGGGCTCCAACTTCCGCTTATAGTTTCATACACGTAGACCAGCGCAGAGTAAGCACACTCTATGATATACGTACCTTAGGTTAAGGCTGAAAGTACAAAATATTGTGCTACCTTTCAAAGAGCGGGAACATTTGGTTTAAATAGCAGAATCTCTCTAAAATCCTTTTACGACAGACTAAATAAGTTTCAGAATGATCCTTCATATTTATTACGACTATAGACAATATTTTTAAGTTAAAATTTTGAGATTATGCCTTCAGAAATTTGTGTTCCTTAGTTTTGAAGGATCCTATTTCCAGCTGAGTGATAATCACAAGAACAGAAGGGCATCATCATCCTCAAAGAAGATCTCCGACGAATCGACGATAATCACAGCTTTGCCATATATAATATAATATGCAAATTATTTAACAGAGAGTAGGAGCATCTCATTACATATACTTATACCTTCAACGAAAGAAAATACTCAGCTTATTGCTTCCCATATTTTGTTGATGGTATTGTAGAAAACTTTGTTAGTTTTAATAGTAAGGAATAATAATTACATTACAAATGAGATGACTCGGGAACGGCAACGTGCCACAACCGATTTTGCACTTTTGTTACGACCAGTATCGCTAAAACCATGACGAAGGTATTTTCGTCAATAGAAATTGCCTATTATATATTAGGTTGTCAAAAAAGTCTTGCGTAGTTGGCGCTGAAAGCGCGTATTTCTTGTGTTATTCGTCACATCGGGTCATGCTATACCTTTTTGGAAACCTCATTTCACGCGCTAACACATATTTGATTGATTGTTGTTACCTTTAAGTCATTCGTGAGTTATAGCGTCGTAAACATGAAGCAAAATAAAGAGAAAATACGGCATATTTTACAGTACTACTACGATAAAGGAAAAAAGGAATCTCAAGCCGCCAATAAAATTTGTGCAGTTTATGGACCCGATACAGTTTCTATTTGCACCGCACAACGATGGTTTCAACGTTTTCATTCTGGTGTAGAGGTGGTCGAAAATGCGCTACGCTCCGGAAGGCCTGTCATCGAAAATTGCGATAAAACCGCTGAATTGGTCGGAAGAGACCGGCATAGTAGCAGTAATCAAAAAAAATTTCATGAACAATTGAAAATTCAATAAAAATACCGYAAGACTTTTTTGACAACCTATTATTTATTTTATTTATTAAATATATTAATTAATTAATTTTTGTTTAAATACTATACTTATTTTACGGTTTTGTAACTACTATTTACTAAATGACAAGTATTACGAGCAAAAATTATATTTAGTTTGTTGTAGTTGTAACCTGACCAGACGTACTCGTGAAAAGCAATTTCCCAGAAATATAATTTAAATATGTATGTACAATTGTGTCAACATGAAAAGTATTCTAATAAAATCCCCGCGATTACTTTTAATGTGACAGAAGTTTTATAATCAAATGACGTCTGGATAGTGCTACCACGTTCTCCATAACCGCATTTGACTAGTGAGCGTGCGGTAAACTCTGCGCAGACAGAAACAACTCAACTTCAACTTGATACACAGTATTACCTGGATATGAAAAATATACGGAAATCATGCTATTTTCAATAGTTAAATTTTAGTATAAATAAGAATTTTAGAAAACTCTTACCACAACGTAATCTCTACGGCTCGATCATTCTTCCGCACAAGCTGCAATGTTTTTACATATAGCTATTACTTTTCAATAGACAATATATTCCTTCCATATAAAAGATTCTCATGAAACCTATCAACCGTTAGAAGTCGGTTTATAACTTTTCAGCCGTTGTTTTCTTTATCGAAAATAGCCAAGACACACACCACAACTGCGAGTAGAGGCACGCTGAAGCGTCAGTAAAACAACTTTCAAGTCGAATTACTTAATAAGAAATAGTTTTTATGAAGATCTTTATTGTAGATTACAGTATTGTGTCGGACAATGACCCATGTCCATATTGAAGATGATTTTCCAAAATAAAAGTTTTTCCATATAAAAACTTGATTATGGTGGATAATTTGTAAGACAGCTATATACTATAGTGGTCCGATGTCGAGAGTTCCAACAAATGTGCAGCTTGTTGGAGAGAAGAAGACGTTTCCAAAATTTCAGGTCGTGTTCTCAAAGGACTAAGGGACTAGTTCAAATACATATATACAACGTCCAGAGTGTTTAACGTGGGTACCTGTTGGCGACCCCTCGGCGCTTAAGAGCATAGTGGATGCAATCAATGCAGGTCAAAACTAATGCCGAGCATTTCCAGTACCAATTGGCAGTGTGGAGTGGACACACCAATCACCTTGGTAGGGTTTGAGGCCCATCTGAAACCTCTGCCGTACTTTGTGTTCGGCAACCGGTTGCGATACAACTTCACATTCAAATAACAAAGTGTCAGTTCTTGCCGCATTCGAGTTTTAACCACAACCACCATGATACGGTGCCAGTCTGCATGAGTAGGTTGGAGCAAAATCCAAGGTCCCCGTGGTAACAGAATTAAGTCGCTGCTCAGACCTTGTATCCGAAAGTACTATCAGTTGAGCTCCCATACTGCTCTGGACAGTTGACTCAACTCGTCATGCTTATTACTTATATAAATTTATATTACTTTAGGTCTCATTTCAGGTATTGCAATTTCTTATCAAACTTAATAACGTGTGTATATATTTGGAGTATAACAAAATATTAAATATTTCATATAGGAATCTCGTAAAAGGAAAATAGTGTACTGGGTACACATGCTTACCACTACTTAATTTTTATGCTTTTAAGTGGCTTTCTAAATGGCAAACTTGTTCACTTACAATTTAATTTGCGTAAATATGCAACTTGAACGACATATTAGCAATG